TGAGAAAACCCAGAGCCTGGGTTTGCAGAGGTAAGAGAAAAGGAAAGGTAAAGGAGAGAGAAAATGAAAGAGGAAGAAGAAATCTGACGTGGTTGCAAAAAAAAAGAATTATTATTTTTAAATTAAATGAAAATGTCAATTCATAAAAAAATGCCAACTATGTTTTTTTTTTTTTCCATGTCATTAGTTAAGAAAAAAAAAATGATTTGCTGTCATTTTAACGTGCCACTTGTCATTTAACTGACGGAAGGATCATTTTGGTACGAAAATGAAAGTTTAAGGATAATTTTGATACTTTTTAAAGGTGAAGGACAATTTTGGTATGAAAGTCAAAAGTTGAGGGACCAAAATGGTACTTAAACCTAATAAAAATGCTGTTATGAAACTGAAGCTTGTTTTGATGGATACAATGCCTTTTCTAAGTATGGACATGGCTTTTATTCCACTTTCAAAGGGAAAATCCTTAATTGTAATAGGATAGAGAGAAGTTCATCAATTGAGGAATGAGAGAATACCTGACTTCCTTCAACTGTTCTATTAGCAACAACTCTGTAAAAGAAGAGACCACAATTTCACTTCATTAAACTAGAAAATCAATTTCAAGCCATTGACCTATCAAACAGACCTCAAAAAATGGATTCTGGATTCTGGGGCTGTCCTTTAAATGCTTTTACATCAATTCCCAGAAAACAACATTGGATCTCACAAATTTATGGATTGGCTCAATTCGTTTTTTTTTTTTTTTCAAGGAAATTGAAGCTTGTGGTTTATTGGATTTTAGTAGCTTTGATACCAAATTTGATGTAAAATAGGAAACAAAGGTGAGGATAGAACTTAGAGACAAAGGCAAGGGTGGGAAAAGAATAGCAAAATTAGGGATTTCTAAAAGATAATTTCAATTCATAAACACTTTAACTGAATAAACTTAATGCAACCTACGCTTAAATATAAAGGCTAAAAGCCCAAATTAGACTTACTTCTTCATTAGACTCCCAACTGAATCTTTATTGAAAGATGATAATAGACCCTAATAAATATAAGTTACTAGTAATATTTACATTTAATTCTTATATATTCGTAATCATAAGAAAATCCTAATAAATATATTATTTCCTTCCTTATATGCATCGCTACTAACTTTTTGATGCAATCCACTAGCTTAGTGCATCATTTTGAAAACAAAAAGCCTCACTTTCTGCTTTCCCTGTGATCCAATGGAAAGATCTGGCTTGAACCAATCCTACACTACCCTCCCCATCTACTTCTACATTCTTGAAATTTTTTTCATTTCTAATTAACCATAATCTCCATACAACCATGAGCCAAACTACATCCCATTCTAAACTCAATTTGTCTAATATTAAATGCTTGAGATTTTTATGCTCTTTATATTCTTAATATGGCATAGATCTGTAGTCAAGTTAGGAATTTTTAAAATAAATAACCATTTAAGGAACATTAAAAGAAAATAGATGAATTAAAACCATTCTAGAAAGTTGCATTAACATCAGCTATTAGATTACATATAGTCAATCTTAGGATACATGATCATGTAAACAGGACACCACTTTCCCACAAAACCATAATTCAATTTTACCCAACTTTGCTTAAGCTTACTCAATGACAAGGACTTCCTCATTGATTCTAATAGCATCAAACTTGGACCAATATAATTTTATCCAACCATTGATGAAAAGCATAAAGCTACCATTGTCCAAATGAGACAGCAATGATAAACAAATCAAAAGATACTTATAAACAAGAACTATCTAACCTTAAACTAACTTTAGCATATAATTAGCAAAACAATAGATGTGTACATGACTAATAGGCACCACTTTTGCTTACCTGATGCATCTTATCTCCAGCAACTATGGGTTGTCATTCCTTTCATACTATCATTTTTGCTTCCATTGCTCCAAGATGTTCCTTAAGTCATTTTCTACTTTAAGTACTTGATTTTCTCCTTCTTATTGAGTTTGGCCATAACTTTAGATTTGAAATATAATGGGCTCTTGAATTCTGTTGGCTTCATCCCACCCCCACAATTAATCATATGTGAATGATGTTGAGGAGGAAAAACATTTCTTAATAACCTCAATATTCGACATAGGTGACTCAAAATCCATAACCTCACAAATTTCTTCCTATAAAAAGGAAAAAAAAATTGCCATATATATTATTTTTGCTAAAGAAAAAAAAAATCAATTTAGAATGAGGAAACAAAAGCATATCACATGAGTATGCATTAGATTGCATGACAAAGATAAAACAATTACAGAATTGAAATTTTGAGAGAATTTTTTCTTGATATAACTTCATCAACCAAATTGCCACATTAGAATGCATGACATAGCTTAAAGGATTATAAAATGATAGCATCTAATTTAAGTATTAGAAAGTAGAAATGGCAGAATACATACATATATTTGTGCTATTTTTGGTTCTATTTCTTTTGATCTACCCTTGCAGGTCTCAATGAACATGGTTGCCATGTTAGGTTCCGAACCATCTTTTCCTACCTAAATCTACACTTATTTAAATACAATATATATATATATATGTGTGCATATAGTAGGAATCCACTTACATACAAGTCTTACATGCCATGCTTACATAAAATTTAGATAATTTATCTATCCACTTTCAATGGTTGAGATTTATCACAATTTTTTAGATGAAAAAGATAATTATCTTTAACAAATATGATAATAAGTGGATAAATCTCAACCATTGAAAATGAAGAGATGAATGGTCAAGATTTTGTATAAGTGTGGTATGAAAAACCAGTATGTAGGTGGATCATAACTCATATATATATGAATACTATACCACATATTCATTTATCAGTTAAATAATACACCTTAACCAACCTCACCAAAATGCACAATCAATTTGTATAGAAACTGACCATCATTTATCCCAATTGCATCAGGTCAAAATATATTAAAAACAAATGATCTTCTGGATCTAAAACTTAAATAAATGAAGAAATGAAGATAAGAGATGCACCTGAGGAGTGAGATGTTTGTAGTGGCCACACCAGGGAACATAGAAATCAACTAAGAACCAATGCAACGGCAACTGGAAGAAAAGTCTAGGAAACTTTACAAGTTTTCAACTCCTAAAAATGTCAGAAAAAACACAAGTGAGAAACAAGTCACTCTTTTCAAATTTATGTCATACAAGGAAACATACTATTGTAAATCATATACAGCAACAAAAGGCAGTCTTAGCTTCATTCATTTTTTTAATCTAACAACAAAGCATAGAAAAAATGACAAAGCAGGGAACAATTTCATTTATAAATATTAGTGAATATCATTAATGAATACCAATTTCATTAATGTGTTTAGACAGTGTAGTGAAAACAAGATGGGAATGAGTACAAGAATAACAAAGTTACTAAGGATCAATTGTATGTAGCACCATCATCAAAAAGAGCTTTATAAAACCGTTTCCTCTCTTCTGGGTCAAATAAACCTCCCTACTTATCACCATTATCATCTTGATTAGATGTTTCAACACTTGCTTCTTTCTTCCTCCATGGCTTTATAGAAAGCTTATCCTTCTTCTTCTTTTCCAAATTCATTAAACAATGCCTCTTGTTATATTCATGAAGACCCTCTTCCATTAGCACCCAAATTTGTCCTTCACAACAACAAGTGGATCTTTATAAATTAGTTTTGACCCATCATAACTTTCTCTTAGCAGTACGATATAAATTCAGTGTTTATTTGAAACATAAAATATTCTAGGGTGCTTGAGTAACAAAACATTCAATTTCTCTAGCAAAGCAAATTCCCTTTTAAAATGGCCTAACTTCCCAATGGATAGTTTCTTCCACAGAGTTAATGACATAACTCATGCACAATTCCAACTGTTCTCTTTCCTAGTTCCTTTGATCCCTTCTCCAAACCTATAGAATTTAAATATGGTGAAATATAGGGAGTAGCATTCAATTCGTTGAATCTCTCCCAAGATTTTACCCAAGTTGAAGGCAACGAGCATGAAAAACAAGGCTCAGACCCCTGCTTCTGAGTTGAGGCTTTAACTGCAGAAATTGCTAAGTCAGGGTTCCATGATAGAAGCTCAATCTCCATTGAACTCTTTCTTCCACTATAATTAACAAGTCAAAACATGTCTGGATGTTTTGGTGCAATTCTAATCACATAATCATCTGGAAATCCAAAACTTCACTTTAGCTCATTAAGTTTTACAATATTGAGCCTCTGGTTCACGTTCATCATTAGCAACTTTGCCAATCTCTGCACATATGTAGGCTGCTGCATATCTTTGACAGACTCTTCCTCTTCAACCAAATTCATCATTCATTTTGTTAACCTACAATAATACCCATCATTCTCAAGATGAACTTCAAAGCAACACATATACTTTTTGAGCCAAGTGAGAGCTTTGCCTTGGAGATCCAGACTCTTAAACTTCTTTTGGATATACTTCATAGTAGCCATTTGGTTTGCGCATCTAAGTATTATGTTCTTTAACTGATTATTGACTATCCACTGACGATTTTGTGAGAAGGCTAATTCAAGATCCACATCCTTCTTCATTGACCAAAGAGAAAAGCATTAAAGATGATAAACATGATAAGGTAGAGAGAATGACCTAGCATTGCAATTTATTAGCCTCTGCAACAGTTTATTATCCATCAATGTATCCCAATTGGGGTATCTCTCGTTTCATAAAATGAACCTATTAAGAGAGAATAGAAACTATCATGAGAAACACAAGTTTGAAATGCAAAATGAGAATCCATTTTGCAATGAATTTAACATCATAGGTACATATGAAATAATAATTCAAGCAAATATTTAGAGACTAAA